ACATCTACGCGCAGGGTATATTTAAGTTTCAGCTTCATTTTCACTCCTTTATTTGGAAATATAAACAAATTTGCAGGATTAATTCGCTAGCTACTGTTGATGATTTTGGTCGTTATAGACCGATGTATGATAACACTTATTCATCTACTGATGACCTCAGTTCTACGACAAAAAAAATTAAGAACACTCTTGATAGGTACCTTCATCAATCTCTTACAAAGGTAATTCAGTCCTTTAAAGCCCGTTCTTTATTCTCAGCGTTACTTGAGTTTTAACAGTTGTTCATTTAGGAGGCAGAAGTTGCGGATCATGTCGCTCAGCTTATAATTGCGGATATTCAGAATATGGTTTCTGCAGGGAATTCCCCGCGGCATAAGCAAATATCATGAGTAAAGTTCTGCGTAGCAAAATTAATATGGGGAGGTTGCTTTTATAATTTATTTTTAATGCTCAAAAAGCTTTTATTAATTTGTCGTTCTTAGAAATGTTTAGAGTTTCAATTTGAACTGTGTACGCTACAACAAGTTTTTTTGGATTGCTGCGTTTAAAAAATCTGTGAAAGCGCTGTTACTTAGTTATTTTTGATTTTTGTTTTCTTGTCTTGCAGAATGAACGATGTTCTAGTTGTTAAGGTGCTCATATTGTAACTTAAGTTTTGATATTGATTTTCAGAAATACATGAAGAACTTTTTGTTTCTTAGTCTGCAACATCTATTTTGCTACATTTTTAACGGTGAGAGAGAAAAAGGATAGGAATATCAGTACTTGTTTTGCTTCAGTAGTTTCGATGTATTTACCGGTGGTCATCACCAGTCAGGCGGCATTCAAGCTGCATCAGTGTTTAACTGTAAGTTGGTAGTATCTCTTGAACAGTGATCTGTGTTAAGTTCCAGAAGTCTGTGATTTTTTTTTTTGATTTTTTCTTTTTGTTGTTCTGGTGCATACTATTATAAATTTGTATTTTTGCGTCGAATTTTAACGATGCCTATATAAATATTAATTTTTTATAAAATTCCCGTGTTTTTTTTTTCTAATAGTGGCTTTAAAAAGCGAAGTTCGTAATAATCGTATAAATGTGTTCCTTTGATTCAACTGGTGGCTTTCTTGTTTTGTACGGCTTACTCACTGTGTCTTTATAGTGTTCCACTCTTAGCTTGATAATTTGGTAATGGTGTTCAAACCGGAAGTGGATGTTCTTCTGTATTATTTGTATCCTTTTACACCATCCGGGTGGCTCAGAAGGTCTTGGAATTGTAACATAGTCACATTTGTGTTCATAAAGACTGCGTACAGTAAGCTTTTCATATCCCTCTGTCTGTTAAAGGAATTTCTGTGGGGAGATCACTGATGCGGCAGGAAACGCGATACTGTTTGTTCAAACGACGAATAATTTAAAGGTTGAGACCAAAGGACGAAGTTTTAGTCGGCGAAGAGACGCAGCAGAGGGAACTTATGATCAGTACTCGGAAATTCCGACTTTTTTTGTCGACCTGATGCATTTATGTAACAGGATATCAGCAACTACGAAGCCACATTGGAAATGCTTTGTTAAGATTTTTGGTATGTAATTTTTAATATGGTCTGCCTGTTGCAATCTGTTTCAGTTCACGAAACCGCAGCAGTACGTCATTGGGTAAAACCATAGTAAATTCTTTATTGTGGGAGCCTTTTCAGCGGCTTAGCTTCTATTTTACTTTTTGAACCTGGAAAAGGTAATAAAATGAAATAAAATCTTGGTGAAACATTGGATCTTAAGCGCGAAAAATCATATGTCATTTGGGGTTATGATCTGTATAGATCAGTTGCCACCGGTGGTACCCGCGTTTAGTGTTGTGCGAAAAATTCAAATTTGCGGTTCATTTCATCCTTCGTCCTCGTATTGCATGTTGATATGAACCGACTTTTCTCCTTGCTGCATTGTACACTATTTACATGGAAGTGTTAGTCTTTTTTAGAAGACTTGAAAGATTTGGTGCTATTGCGTTTGCTAGACTGCGGTCGTATACGATATCGCTGAGGAGGCACACATTTTTAGAAAAACCGATAGATGTGACCCAACTGGTTGAGCGACATTTCTCGATAAACGGTGCAGAAAAATGGGTTAGTTTGCAGTTTACACCGGACCAGAATATTTAACGAAATTTTTCTGCGTTTATGTAAACTTCGCGACGGATTGGCTACCTTATTGTAATTGAATATTTTTTAGACTTCATGATAATCTATCAAAGCAACCACTTGTAGTGTGAGGAGAATTATGGAAAATTAATGTCATTCACTCACTGACGGTGATTGGATGTTGTATTAAAATTAGAAGTAATTAGTACTTTTTTACTGTCATACCTAAACTCTTATTATCTCAGAATAGATGTTTTTTGCTTCTCAGCGCTCTTCGCTTTCTTGTTGTTCCATTTCGCTCTGTATAAGTTGAGACCAATTCTCCTCTGTTATTATTCTATAGAAGAGACGTTAAACAAAGTCCTCTACAAATCGGTTGAAGCGTAAGCTAATTACTGTAATTATTAGATGTAGCCATGTGCGAAAGGAAACGAGGGCGGAAAGACCATCTTTAATTCCGCAAAGATTCTTATTTAAGTTGTTGCGCTCATATTTATAAAAAATTGTGTCAAATATTGCACATAGATTTTGAATACAAATTGTATTTTTTGCAAACAATTTACCAAAAGTTATCAAAACACAGAGTGACAAGAACTGAAGGATCCCGTAAACGTTCAAACGGATAATGCACTTTTCTAAAAAGCACCTCAGATAGGAATTAAGTGGGAAGAATATGCCATAAGAAAATTTAAACTGTTAACAAGCAGAAAGAGAGAACCAAAAAAATAGCTGAAGCGTTCAGGCCAAAATTTACTACTGAGACTCAACTGGCTGAATTGGAGCCAAAAAATCACTGGTACTGTACGAACAAACAAAGTCACACGCTCATCAAAGCGTGTAATCATATTTTTAATCCAGTGAAATCCTTCAACAGTAGTGAAGCAATGCACAGCAGGCTGGAAAGCGACAGCTTCTGTTCACTAAGCAACAATTAGGTCCTCAAGCCAACCAGTTAGACGCCCAAATAAATTTTTGGAAACATTCAAAAAA